GATTAAAGGCATGCGCCACCACACCTGGTCTAAAGGTAATGCTAATACATTTTTAAGTTAAAAAAATAAATAAATGGGAGCTGGGAAGATAGCTCAGTGGTTAAGAGCACTGGCTGCTCTTGCAGAGGACCGAGATTCAGTTCCCAGCACCCACATAGAAGCTCACAACTGTAACTCCAGTTCCAGGGAATCTGATGCCCTCTTCTGGCCTCTGTGGACACTGCAAGCATGTGGTACACTTAACATAGATGTAGACAAAACACTCATACATGTAAAAATAAATAAATTTTTTAAAGTTTTAAAAGAATTAAATTACATATAATTTAATTATAATTTGCCTATAATTTTATAGGCAAGAAGTAAGAATCAATTATTATTTTGTATACCTAAACAATGTCTCAATTTTTAAGCATAATCATGTAATGGATTAAGGGTTCTTTTTAAAAAAATATTTTATTTGGGGGCTGGAAAGATGGCTCAGCAGTTAAGACCACTGGCTACTCTTGCAGAAGACCGAGATTTGAATGCCAACACCTATCCGTAACTCTAGTTCCAGGGGGATCTGACACCCTCTTCTTTCCTCTGTGGGTACTGCACAACATGGGTGCATTTACATACCTGCAGGCAGAGCAGTCACACACATAAAATAAAAAATGAAAATTTAAAATATTTTATTTGTTATTTTTATTTTATGTATATGAGTTTACTGCCTGTTTTTTTGTTTGGTCTTTTTGAGACAGGATCTCCCTGTAGCCACAACTGGCCTGGAACTTGCTATGTAGACCAGGCTGGCCTTGAACTCACAGAGATCTGTTTGCCTCTACCTCCCAAGTGCTGGGATTAAAGGCATGTGCCACCACGCCCAACTGTATTGCCTGTTTTTTTAACAGGTGATACTTGTACATGCATAAGGATGACAAGCAAATGTCTGAAGTGACACCTGGCTTTTATTTTACATGGGTTCTGGGGACTGAACCCAGGTCCTCATGCTTGCATGGTAAGCTCTTTCCTGACTGACCTATCTCCTCAGCCCCTACTCCTTAAATCTTTGAATCATCCTTTTCCTAGCCCCCCTGACCAAAATAATATTAAACTAATGGAAAACAACAGGTGGAAGAAAGGCAGGGAAGGAGACAGGTCGGCAGGTGTACTGATGGATATTCATACAGGTATTATATACAACCGTCTAAGTGAGGTTTCTTGAAGAAGGTGCTAGAAGTTTGCAAACGTTGCCCATTGAGGTCCGGCAAGGAAAACCTGCTGTGGGCCACACACCAGGTGTCCTAAGTGTTCCAACTAGTCAGCTCTAAGATGTGGTGTGAGTTTAGCCATGGATAAGTAGGTGTGACTAGATTCCAACAACACTTTATTTATGGTAACAGACAGCTGCTGATTTGGCCTACAGGTCACAGTGCTGACCCCTGCACTAGAATGGAAGTCCTTTAAGAGCAAGGAGTTTTGTTGACTTCATTTACTGATGTACCCTGGTAATTAGTACATGGTGTCTTGTACCTGGTCAGCCCACAGGAAATATTCACTAAACGAATAAGGCGGAGGACCCCAATGGAAAGAACATAGGTAGCATCTGCAGTAAGCCATCTCTGCCTTCTTCTGAATCTGCCTTGCTGATACAATTAGAAGGCCAGCCATATACCACTGGAGGTATATGCTGGGATGCTTGCTACTGGACCCTGCAGATAGTGAATGAAATGCCACCCATCCCCTCATTTAATCCCTGGGGCTCTAATTCACATCTGTGTGTTGGTATATCTGTTAAAACCTCATATAGTGGAGTTGGCAGGGGTAGGGGAGGGAGCAGACCCTGCTATCCAGGACCTAGCACTTAAAGGCAGGAGTCAGGACAAAGTCAAGAAGACAGGCAGAATGTGAACACATTCTAAGCCACAAAGTAGCAAACACAAGTGAGTGCTCTTTTCTGCCACTCATCGAGTCAGCCTCACCTCGGGTGAGATCTGTGAGATCTGAGACACAGTCAGAATGCTCTCTGCTTCTCTGACAGATGGCTCAGTGGTTAAGAGCACTGGCTGCTCTTGCAGAGAACGAGGGTTTGATTCCCAGCACCCACATGGCAGCTAACAACCGTCTGTAACTCCAGTTCCTAGGAAATCTGATGCTATCTTCTGACCTCTGCGAGCATCTGCAGCAAGACCTGCTTCCCCAAACCTTCCTCAAAATCACCCAAACAAGGAGCCTGTGTCCTCTGTCCTTTCTAAACACTCTCTTATCTCCATCTGTGTTCTTTCCTGCTGAAATAAGCGCTTGTTTGAATTAGTGTGTTTCTGCTGGGTTTACCCAGAAGGTATAAAATGAGAGTTCCCGAGACCCCAAGACGGTTAGGATTATCCCAACTCTGCTCCATACTTAGTGAGGATTGAGTGGAAAAACAACCACATTGTAAAGCCCAAGGTCTTTAACTCATCATTTCATGAAACCTGAGACAAAGCTTTACATGAAATGCAGCTGTTGAATGGAATAATAGTCACGATTTAAAATCACAAAGCCACGGCAGAATATTTGAGTATCTTACTGAGCTGGACATTGGCTGGCTGGTGGCAGGATTTCCATACACGGTGAGTCTGGCATCCAACTCCTCTGCAAGGTGAATCTGTGTATCCATGTTACTTGAAGGAGGTGACTGGACGGCCTGACCACTATACATGGTGGCTTCATCTTCTTGTATAATTTCCCAGGTCTAAAATGAACAGAATCCACTTGAGCCGTACAAACACTCGCCCACTGCTGTAATCCACAAGAATAAGGGAACCGCTCATACCTCAGGAGACTCACGGTTGTCAGCATTCTCTGTTTCCTCGGATATCTGCCTCCTGGTGGTGAATGCGTGCTGTGCTTGTAGCTGGATGTTTCCGTTCTCAGCATTGGTGAGGTCGTCCCTAGGGTTGAAGTTTAAAAAGTCATCACTTATGCCTTAGGACAGAAAGAATCACAGTCAAAGAGTCTGCAGTTATTTAGAAACTACTTAGATCAGAATTTACTGGTTTTGGTCAAAAGCTACTTCAACATGCAGATTGTATTGTGAGCACACTGGTATCTTAAGAGTAAATTGTGGGCTGGAGAGATGGCTCCGCTGTGAAGAGTGAATACTGCCTTTCCGGAGGACCTGAGTTCCATTCCCAGCACACATGTCAGGAGGTTCACTTGGAACTCCAGCTCCAGAGGATCTGACACCCTCTCCTAGTCTCCAAAGGCATTAGGCTCATATGCATATACCCACACATAAAGACATACACATAAATAAAATTTTTGAAATATATTTTTTATTTTTATTTCACATGTACAACCGTATTGCCTAAATGTATGTGAGTGCACCCATGTTGTGCAATGCCGCAGAGGTCAGAAGAGGGCATTGGATTCCCCTGGAACTGGAGTTAAGGATGGTTCGTAGCCACCATGTGGGTGCTGGGAATTGAACCCGGGTCCTCTGCAAGAGGACCACTGCTGAGCCATCTCTCCAGACCCACCTTTTTTTGTCTTTTTGAAACAGGGTCTCCCTGTAGCCCCAGCTTTCCTGGAACTCACTAGTGTCTTGCAATGCCTGCGGAGGTCAGATGAGGGCATCAGATTTCCCAGGAACTGGAGTTACAGATGGTTGTTCGCCGCCATGTGGGTACTGGGAATCAAATCCTGGTTCTCTGCAAGAGCAGCAAGTGCTCTTAACTGCTGAGCCATCTCTCAGCCCCTCAGATATTATATTTTTTGGAATTAGTCTTAACAGGGAATGGGCAGAATGGGAGACAGTGCAGGGGCTTTATCATTAAAAGCTTAATAGATTACAAATCTGAGTTAGGAAAGGCACAAACACTAGCCATTTTTAGACATGTTATTCTAGTTTTGTCTGTTCACTATAACCAGCCTATCAGATCAAACATTAGATTCACATGTTCAATAACAAAATTCTTGACTAAAATGTTTTTACATTTATTTATTTGTATGTGTGTGTGGTGGTTAGAGGACAACTTGCAGGAATCGGTTCTCTCCTTCCACCATGTGGTCTTATGTCAGGCTTGGGAGCAAGCACCCTTACCTGCCGAGTGATCTTGCTGGTCTCAAAAATACTAATTTATTTGATATCATATAAGTTCAGGGTAGTTAGAAAACCATTTCTCTTTTTAAAAAAAATTATTAATGATTTTAATTTGCTTTTCTTTTTTAAAATTTATTTTTATTATGAGTATGAGTGTTTTGCTTGCATGTATATGTAAGTGCACCCATGCACACTATGCCTGAAGAGGGTGTTGGTTCCTCTGGAACTGGAGTTACATATAGTTGTTAGCTGCCATGTGGGTGCTGGAAACTGAAACCAGGTCCTCCTCTGAACGAGCAGCCAGTGCTCTTAATCTCTGAGTTTTCTTTCCAGCCCCCTTCATCATTATTATTATTTTTAAATTATGTGTATGTCTGTGGTTGGGTATGTGCCCATGAGTGCAGTTGCCTGAGGAGACCAGAGTCATCAGATCCCCCTGAAGCTGGAGTTACAGGTGATTGTAAGCTGCCTGACTGGGTGCTGGGAGCCAAACCCAGGTCCTCTTCAAGAGCAGCACATACACTTAACTATTGAACGATCTCTCCAGCCTTACCAGTCTTTTAAGAAAATTATTACTATTATAATTTTTTTTGGTCTTTTTGAGTCAGGGTCTCCTTGTAGCCCCAGCTGGCCTGGAACTCACTATGTAGATCAGGCTGGCCTCGAACCACAGAGATCCGTCTGCCTCTGCTTCCCAAGTGCTGGGACTAAAGGCATGCGCCACCATGCCCGGCCTTAAAAATTATTTTTAAGTTGATACATAAAAGGTGCATATGCTAGTTTTGGGTGTCAGCTGATGCTGGATGCATAGATACTGTGTCAGGACCATTCAACAGCCAGACTGGAACACTTGGCACAGTTATCACTTGATACACTCATCACTTCTGGGTGGTGAGAGCATTCAAAATGTGGCTTTTTTCAAATATTCAATAAAATAGTATCAATCACAGTTACCAATTGTACCATAGAATCCCAGATCACTTTCTAACCCTACCCAGGCCCCACTGCTATTCCCTCCTGTCCCTCTTCAGTCACTGAAGACGAGTTCTTCCTCCTGTGTGGCTGATAAAAATGTAATTTTGACAAATGGTTCTAAGGAATGTTTCAGATCTTTTTCTCACCTAAATATCTGCTTTTTGCCACCTGAAACTGACATCAACCACAATGAAGGGAATAGATTCTGCTCATCAGGTCTGCTGTAATATGGTGGTAGACAAGAAGGTGACTTTACAGAACTCTACAGCCTCTGTTTCACAACCCTATGTCATTCTACAGATGCTGACAGCCCTCGAGAGCCACTGGAAACCTTGGCCACTGGCTTATGCTCTAACAATCAATCACAAAAATTTCTATGATATTTTAATCAGTTTCAGAAGAAAAATGCTCCAGTTGTGGCCATGTAGTTCTTAATTTATTAAACTAGAAGCAACTAAAACATGGCATATGGTTCAAAAACTATTTTTTTGTCTTTTTGAGACAGAGTCTCCTTGTAGCCCCAGCTGCGCTGGAACTCACTAAGTAGACCAGGCTAGCCTTGAACTCACAGAGCTCTGCCTGCCTCTACCTCCCGAGTACTGGGACTAAAGGCATGAGCCACCATGCCCAGCTCCAAAAACAATTTTTAAACTTTTATTTGTGTGTGTATGTATGCGTGTGTGACCTCTGTGATCAGAGGAGGGCGTTGGATTCACTGGAGCTGCAGTTACAAATAGTTGTTAGCCACCATGTGGGTGCTGGGAATCAAACCTGGGCCCTCTGCAACAGTAGGCAGTGCTTTTAACCAATGAACCATCAAACCAGCCCCTCAAAAATATTTTTGAAGACAGGGTCTCATGGACCCCAGGCTGGCCTCAAACTTGCTCTAGTTGAGAATGACCTTGAACCCCCTCTTTCACCTCCTTGGGTACTGGGATTACAGGTGTGTACCACCACATGCAGTTTCATGAGGTGCTGAGGATCGAACCCAGGACCTTATGCATGCTAGGCAAGCACTCTACCAACTCAGCTGTACTTCCAGTCCTCAAATAATTTAAAATATGAAATCATTAAAGAATTCAGCTGAGACAGCATTTTCAAAGCCCCGCTCCTAGAGCTGATGGATCCCTGGACTACTGTGAACGCATTTGAGGCCTGATGTCAGCAAGACAAGTGGCAGCAGAGCCTAGGTGGAGCAGAGCGACACATACTGTGGGCTTGGTCTCTTCCACTGTGTTCTCCTAGACTCATGGTTCACATAGTAGGTCCTTCCGAGGACATCTTGCCTCTCTTCCCATCCTGGAGGTAGAGGAGCCGGTTCGGGCGGCTGCTGCAAATGGCAAGCAGCATCCGGTTGGTCCAAAACAACCCAGCCAGGCTGAAAATAGAATGGAAGCAATTAAGTTCACGCTTGATTTTTTAACTTTATAAATTACAAGCTACAGGAAATTAAAGAAGAATTTTGCATGTTCAGTTCCAGAAATTATGCTTAAGCAGGACTGGAAAGCCTCATCTTTTAGGACCATCATGCGAATACTTTGCAACAAAGACTTCTCTGAAAAATAACTGTTTAAAGTTTATTTGAAAATGCTTTAAAAATTTTCAAGCATCTTAAAATATTGAACAGAAAAAGGATTAAAAAACCCACTTGAATAACCAAAGAGGAACATAATGTTGGAAAACAGAGGAAAGAGACAGAACTGAAGTTAGTGTGCCCCTCGGCCACGCTCTCAGTCATCAGCAGCGGAATGCAGGGCAGGGACTGGGCCTTGCTGGTCACTGTCTCTCCCACTGGGAAAGCACCTTGCTTACAGTGGAAACTCAATACCTGAGACATAAAAAGGCTGTTAGCTAAAGGTCAAACCCATGAGGGAGAAGGTCGAGTATCTTCGGCACTACAATAACAGATAAAAGTAATGGAATATGTACACATTTCTGCAATGGGTGTGTGTCAGGCAGATGTGGGCTCAGGAGAATTCCTCTTTGTGGAAAGGCTGCTCCTGACAATGGGATCAAGACGGGATCTGAGGGGAAGGTCAGGGACTGTGGAAGAATAGATGGTGAGGGGCAAGAGGAGAGGAGACAGGAGAATTATTTGTAGGGGGAGAAGGCTCTGGATGGGAAGCAAAACTAATCCCCTTTCTTCCTTACTCCTCCCTATTTTTCTTCTGTGGGAACTGAGAGTTCTTACTTTTTACTGCCCAACTCCACTCTCTTCTTTCCCTCTCACATTCTGTGTCCCTTTCCTTTACCTGATCATAACAGGGAATCCGGTGTTCCTAACACCTAGCCTTGTGTATATCAAAGCAAACTGTTTTTCCCTGGCCTCAGTCTCAATCTGAATTTCTAGATGATATTATACTTGGGTCCTCTGTAAGAGCAATGTGTACTCTTAATCGCTCAGTCATCTCTCCAGTCCCCTATACTGTCTTGATGGAAAGAATAACTCAAAATTTCTTTACTGAATGTGGTCAATGACTATTTTGTTCTCAGAGTAAGAAAATTTATTAATAAAAGGGAATTTACCAAGGGGAATATGGGAAAAACAGTGAAGGAGGGCTATAAAGGAAAAAGACAAGGGAAGAGGTGGAGTTAAAGGAAGACAGTGGGTAGGATGATTAAATCTGTGCATGCATGGATATGTCACAATGAAGCCAATTTTCTATAATCAGTATACATCAATAAAAAGGGTGCTGAAAAAAGGGATCACACAACTGTTAGAAATGAACATACAACTATTTAGAGCTAGGAAACTAATACCAAAGATATTTCTTTCTTTAAAATATTTGTTTATGTGTGTGTGTATATGTGTGCATGAGCACATGTATAAGGGTTGCATGTATGCCACAACATGCATGTGGAGGTCAGAAGACCACTTTTGGGAGCTGGTTCTTGCTTCCACCTTGCTGAGGCAGGGTCTCCCTTGCCGTTTCTGCCACTGCACTGTGGACTCCAGGCTAGCTGGCCCTCGAGCTTCCAGGATAGTCTCCTGTTTCCAGCTCCCACTTTGCTGCAGGAATGCTGGGATTAGAGATGCACACCACCACCTCTGGTGTTCTGTGTGGGTTTGGGGGTTGGGGATGAACCTGAACTTGGGTTCAGGTTTGCATGGCTACAGCTCTTTACCTGCTGAGCCATCTCCCTGGCCTGAGAGTGTTTTATTAAAAGCTAGTATTTCTCTCTTAAAGATCTGCTTTGGTGCTATCCAAGTAAATTTAAGAAGAAAAATAAATTAATTAAGGCTTAAAAAAAACTAAAGCTGACTGAGCTTAGAGGAGGTTCAGCTGCACATCCCAATACCACTGGAAAGGGAGAAGTCTTCACTTCCGAGATAAAATTCCTCCCTAAGAAACATGTCCCATCTACTTTTTGAACCTAAGTATCCCTCAACTGACAAAAATGTGGTACATTTATACAGTGGAGTTCTACTCTTATTGATAAAGAAAGACAAAAATCATGAAATTTGCAGGTAAATGGATGGAACTGGAAACAGTTATACTAAACGAAGTAAAACAAACTCAGAAAAACAAAAGACGTATGTTCTCCCTCATTTGTGGTTTCTGGCACTAAATCCTTATATGTGAGTATATATCCTGATGTAACTGCAGGAGCCAGGAAAATGGAAAGGAACCAGGGAGATAAAGGGAAAGAAGGAGTCTGAGAGTGAAGGAGTCTGCGAGAGAACAGTAGGAGACAGGTGTTACTAAGGGAGGAATGGGTAAAATGCGGGTATTTAAATGGGAGGGAGAGAGGGAGGATTATACAAGCAACTATGGGGGTAAAGGGAAAGAAGGAGCTCAAGACAGGGGGGACCACAGGAGACAGGTATTATCAAGGGCAAAATGGGAAAAAAATGGGGGTACTTTAACTGGGAAGGGAGGAGGGAGGGCTAGACAGGAGAGAGGAGAGATAAATAATGCTTAGCTGGTGTGAAAATCTACTGAAAAATTGCACATACAATATCTCTACACGAGTTCTTCAAATAATTTTCTAAGAATCAATGACTCTTACTTCATCACTAGTCTCAAAGCTAATATGCAAATATGTATAACTTAATGGAGTCAAAGAGGGGTCGGAAAGAAAGTACTCAGACCGTAGACAAACATTCTACCTTAATCTTGTAAAATACATAAGCTAACCCTAAAGTTGCAGAGTACAAAATGAACCGTTATTTAATTATCCCTTCCAGCCACACTATGCAGGAATGCAAGTTGCCAAAGAGAAAGCCTCCTTCCAGAATTACAATTGTTTTCTTCAAATAACAGAAGTTTAAATGTTTAGTCACAAACTAGATGTCAAAGGACCAGCAAGACTTCTCTGGTTTTTCACTACCCAGAAGATAAATAAGTAGATTCATGTGTCTGAATTCCTTGGCCTTTTTTGTAAATAAACTACATGCTTACATCTCCTGAAATTATAAGGTGCATTCTGAAGGAATCCAAACACTGAGACCACAGAACCAAGTGAAGTTGTTCTACCCTACGGAACTGAACAAGGTGCCTATGATACCAGTATGCGGGCAAAACCTGGAGCAGGTTCCTACCTAAGGAAATGCTGCTAATTTTTAAAAGTTGCTAAGTGAAGTCTTTCATTTTTTTTACAGCAGACCCTTCATTTCTAACAGATTTCCATTATGCAACAGGCCCTGCACACTAAAATGTCAGACATAGAAACTTCTACCCAACAAATCTTAAAAATCTGGGTCAGTGAGATCGCTCAGTGGGTAAAGGTACTTGCTGCCAAACTTTATGACTTGAGTTTGATTTGTGGGGACCTCATGGTAGAAGAGAATGAACTCCTGAAAGATGTCTTCTGACTTCCACGAGGCAGATGGATCTCTGTGAGTTCAAGGCCAGCCTGGTCTACATAGTGAGTTCCAGGTCAGTTGGGGCTAAAGGGGGACCCTGTCTCAAAAAGACAAAAAATAAAATAAAATAAAAAGAAATGACAGTGAGCTTTCATCACCAAACCAGGGCTTGCCTATATTCTATGATTTGGAAAAAAATTCTTCCCCACTATTCTGATACATTTCCCTACAAAGCAAAATCTCACTAGTGCATTAAAAAAAAAAAATCCCTAAAAAGCTTTGTGGCAAATTCACAGCCTGCTCTAGAACTTTCTTTCTCTAAGGCATGTAGGCACGTGAGTTAGAGCCTGGACCTCAGGGAAACTCCTGGGTTTCATAGTTCTTAGGGAGACCAAAGTAGACCCTTAGCCAAAGACGTAAGACTGTGAAGAAAGCACACACAACAAAGAACATTCCAGAACAATCAGGTGTCATTATGCTGTGATTTCAATAAGTTGTTGAATACATACAGCTGCCCTTTAATGAACTGTGTCATTAAAGCGACCCCAGGAAGGAATTGGGGTGTTTTGTCTTCTTTTCAGATCTAGGGAACAAACCCAAGAGATCACCTGGAACAGCCCTGTTACTCTGCAAATGAAGAACCTAAGAGTCAGCATTTCTCACAGGGTCATGTGGCTGGCTGGGGGCAAAGCTTCCTCCTGGGGTTCCAGAGTCAAGACTCTACTCCATTCGGATACACCTTCTTCTTCCTCCCCGCCCCACCACAGATATGTGGAGCTCTTGTCTTGGACTCTCCTTTAAACCAGTCATCCATTAAAATCATGAAATTCTACTTGCTTAAATAAACAAGACAGGAAAATTATTTTATAATAATATAGTCATTATATAGTATATATTATAATAATTTTAATATCCTAAAAATGTCTATATACTTAACTTTAAAAATACTAAAATGTTTTCTTATTCTAAGGGAGACTAGGATATAGTTTTAGAAAACTTTGGAAACTAGAAAGTCAATGAAATAATAAACACTTTCATTGAGAAATGTTGCATTTTCTATTTTCCAACCGTTAAGGCAATCTTTAAGTCACTCATTCGACAGAAACATTGTCAGGGGGAAGAAACAGTTAATGAATGCTTGAGTCAAATGTCCAAGTAAGTAATTTTATCGCACGTTAGTTCCATTGAATAATGCTATTTTTCTTCCAAGTATAGTTTAAAAAATTAGATATTGTCTTTTTAGTGTAGTCAAACATCTCTGAGATCTCACCTCTAACTCCTCAGCCTGTTCTGCATTATCTTCTTCCGAGCCACTGGTTTTAGGTAAATAAGTCATTTTTAATCTCAGATACCCTTTAACTCTTGACTTGTTACTGCAGAAAGAAAACAATTATTCACAAAACTTGAACACTAGGAAGAAAGCATTCATTTGGGGAGTTTGTTGAACACATACCTGCCCTTAGGGGATTCACTAGAGGAGTTCAAAGTCAAGGTCCAGTGTTGAGGACCAAAGACATTTAGTACAAGGAACAAGGGGTTTACAAGGCCTGCACCACCAGGCTGAACTACCTAATTTATTTTCATACTATAGCACCTCTTTTGATAATGGGTTATCCAAGCAAAAGGTTGCTGCCTGGTATATAGTATTTAAATCTTTTTCTTGGAAAATATGCCTTTCATGAACTTTTTACTTAAGACTCAGGTCTTGCAATCAATCATGCTTATCAATTCTAACATCCTAAGATTTACTCCTAGATTTCAACAATGACTGACTGGATGATGCAGACAGATATCAGTTGTGTAGCCAACTATGCTTTGTGCTTCTAGACAAGGGTACTGGATCCTTTTACTCCATTGAAGAGACAGACCATCTGCTGCTTCCCCGGCCCATGTCTCCCTCAAACTTTTCAGTTGTTTTCTATATAGTTCTCAAGGATTTGGCAAACTTAGTATTTTTTTCCCAAGTGTTCAGTAAAATCCACCCTGTTGCTTCCAAGGCCACTGATATCACTGCCTGTGTCTTCCTAGTTTCCATGGGGCGTGACACTCTGATTTGATGTCTAAAATGACAGATGCAGAAAATGTGCTCAGATAGCATTCTGTGGAAATTTTTCCCTACAGTTGTGTTTCATGTCTTTTCACCAAGAAAATAAGCCCTCAGGTTTTGATTTAATCAGGCTCAAATGTAGGAACACAGTACATTTTCCATCTGAATGACTTTCTCTGTATCTGCTGTATATTCCATGCTGATAGAAGATGTAAATTGTTATTTTTTTAAATAAAAAATTGTACTTCTGTGGCTATTTGAGGGCCTGCTTGTCTATAAGTGCACCACATGAGTAGGTGCCCGCAGAGGTCAGACGAGGGCATGAGGTCCCCTGGAGCTGGAACTACAGGTAGTTGCGAGCCACCGTGTAGGTGCTGGGAACTGAACTCAGGTTCTCTACAAGAACAGGACACGCTCTGTATCACTGAGCCATCTCTTCAGCCCTGCTTTGTCTTCTTCTTTTTTTTTTTTTTTTTTAAAAAAAGTTAATATGGTGACTCGAACTTTTAATCACAGCATTCAGGAGGCAGAGGCAGGGAGACCTCTGTGAGTTTGAGGCCAGCCTGATCTACATAGCGAGTTCCAGGCCAGCCACCATGGGCACATAGTGTGGCTGTGTCTCAAAAAACAAACAAAACAAAACAATAAAATAATTTTAAAAGAGAAAAAGAAAAAGGTAAGGTTTCATGAAGACATAAAAAGCTTACTATGCTAAAACTTCATATTTACTGACCTTCTTGGATGAAGAACAAAATCCTTGAATGTATATGGTCTCTCCATTCTTGGGTTTTCTGTCTAGAATAAAACAGGGGTCATGTGCCTTTCAAGAATATTTATGAGCTACAACCTAAGATGTAATTGAAGAATGAGAAAAAAGTAGTTTTAACTTAAGAAGCTACAATTACTAATTCAACATTGCTTTTCTGCACAAAAGGAACTGCAGCCAGCACTACAGCTCTGTGGAAAACCAGCGGAGCAGGGGGACTGCAGGCTACAAGCAGGGCAGAAGACCAGTACGGTGATGGTGTAGTGTGGACAGAGGCCGGAGAGGAGCATGGAATGCGTATGTGAGCAGCTTGGCTTGGTTAGAGCATACAGACAATTCCAGAACAAAAAGGGAAACAGCTTAGAAGGTAAGACTGGGTTAAATGTACTCCTGAAAGCCTATGACTGCTGAACACTGCACAGAGCCAAGAAGCGTCTCATACAGCGAGAGGAAAGAAGCCTTTGTTCTCTAGTTCAGTAGTCCTCTGTTTCTGATTATCTCTCTACTACTTTGCATTAACTGCTTTTTGTGTCTTGAAACTCTTTGTAAAAGAGATGTTTATTTTATTTTTATTTTATGCATATGAGTGTTAGATAACTTTCTATTGCTGTGATAAAACACCTTACAGCTTACAGTTCATCATGGAGGGAGGCCAGGGCAGGAACTCAAGGCAGGAGCCTAGAGGCAGGAACTGAAGCGAGACCGTGGAGGAGTGCTGCTTACTAGCTTGTTCCTTTGGTCTGAGCGCAGCTTGCCTACTTATACAACCTGTCCATGGGTGGCACCACCCACAGTGGGCTAGGCCCTCCCATATCATTCAACAATCAAGAAAATGCCTCTCAGGCAATTTCAGGCTCACAGGCCAAATTCAAAGAGAAAATACCCCAATTTAGGTTCCCTCATTCCAGGTGTGTCAAATGACAACTGACGCTATCCTGCATACCCTACATGTATGTAAGGGCCCCATGTATATGCCTGGTACCTGTACAGGCCAGAAGAGGGCATCAGGTCCCCTGGAACTGTAACTAAGGATGGATGTTAGCTGCTATGTGGGTGCTGGGAACTGAACCCAGGTCCTCTGCAAGAGCAGCCAGTATGGTTCATGTTGAGCCATCTTTCCAGCTCTTTGAAACTTTTAAAGTAATTTAATTAATTTATTTATGGGAATGGGCTCACTATGTAGCCCAGGCTAGCCTCAGACTTCTGATCTCCCTGCCTCAACCTCTCAACTGCTGGATTTCAGGTATGGGTTACCACAGGCAACTTGCACCTATCTTCCAAGTCCTTGTGCCATTGTTTTCTTTGGTTCTTTCCTGTTCTGTCTTTTTCCTCTGATCCACATGCTGACCACGGTTTTACACATGGCCCCTTACTTGTATATTCGGGCAGTCCCTGAATCTCAGGTTCTGCTGTTACCAGGGCACTGAGAACCCTCAATCCTTCCAGTTTCTTTTGCTATATAATTTATTTTTATGTCTCTACAAACAGCCTTTTTTAAACCTTAATTTTTTTCAATCTTATGTTGAAATTAAATATGTCCTAAAATAAATTTCTTAGGAGGCTTTTCCTCCTCTTTTCTACTCAAGACATTATCCTTCCCTTCAAAGTTCTGCCTATATTAAAATTTTCTTTAATGCAACCTAAACATGGTCCAGTATCCAATAATGTTTTATTCTGAAATGTCTCTTCAGCCTGTCTGCTTTCCCCGCTGCTGTCTTCCTAGCCCAGGGTCTCAGAGCTTTGTTTTTACTGTTTTGCAGCATTTAGCTTCCGCTGTGAGCGTAGGTTCTTTCCACTCTGTTTAGCAGAATTCCAAATTGCTTTTTCATAAACAGTGATTTTATCATGCTAACCAATCCCAGCAGTTCTCTGTTTCTTATTGGGGTTCATGAAAGTTAATCTTACAGAGAAAAGTGAAATGGAAAACTGAGATGAATTTTCAGAAGACAATATCCTCAAGAAATAAAAGCAGTACGCACTTTATAAATAAGCCCACATTAAGTGAGTTGTGTCAGTGTACATTTATCTAAATTAAAATGCATAAACATGAAAACCCAAATCACAGGCACCTACACTAACCGGTAAAGGGTAGAGAGGAACGTCCACTTGACCTAGGAAATCATCTCTTGTCTGTAAAAGAAAAGAAACAGCATTACTAATATGTTTGACTTTATTATTATATTTTGATAAGAAACTCACCATTCACAAAAATTGTTTTTGTTGCTGTTTAATCCTGTGCAGCACTGATGGGAAATCAACCAAAATAAAAGTACACAAAGCAGTCCTGCCCACTTTGTTAAGAGCTGAGCAGCAGTATTAAACGAGTCCTCCTGCAAACAATTACACATTTAGGGAAAATATAAGAAACAGTCATTTGAATGCACCAGAGAATGACAAAAAGCAAGCAGAAAATGGAGAGAAGGAGAACAGCACCAGGTAGGACTCATGGTCACACAGCTTGTCACACGGTGGGACTCCACAGTCCATGGGAAGTGCTTAGAACCTAAGCAAACCTCTGCAGTGTTCTGGTTTGAGGATTGAGAAGACCAAGTGTAGGTTAATAACATAATGGAAAACGAGAGAGAAAATCTCCGAAAGAGAGAAGCACAACACCCCCATCTACATGTAAACTCCACACGAATCCCTCATTTACCCCTCAGCTGCCAAAGTTAAAGGTACAAGGTTCAAAGGATTGAGCACAGACTCAGAGTTCACCCAAAGGAGGCAGCACTTGGAATCCAACTAAGTGAATTTGCCTGAACAAAAATCAACACTCTCCAAAGAGAGATAACAAAATTCACTGTCTCTATTGTATACTATATACAATGGAAACTAAGCATAAAGCAAAAGAGACTATGGCCCAGTAACCAGAGAAAAAGTAGCCAATAAAAACCAACCACAAGATGACGACACAGAAATTGGACCAGATAGTATAAGGATGCAGTATAAGGATGCTCAAAGACTTTAAAGAAAAACAAGGTCACAAAGAATGAACAGATGAGGAATTTCAGCTGTGAAATTTAACTATAAAAAATGAATAATATGTATATTTTAGCAGTGAAAAATTCAATATATGAAGTAAAAATCAGTGAGTAGGATATGACTGAGGATGGCTGGAGAAAAACTCTGGAACATAAAAATAGATCAATACAATGAAAATAAAGAGGACTTGTAAAATTTAATATGTGTAAATGGAACCTCACATGAAATGGAGGAATGAGGCAGAAGTTGTTTGAAGAACTAAAGGTAGGCAAAGTTTTCCACATTTGGGAAAATACAAGTTTAAATTTCAATAAACTTGATATACTGAAGCTGCATAAATATTAAGAACCATGAACAGTCACATCATTATCAAATGTTGAAGGTGATGGGAAAATCTGGAAAACAGCCAAATTTTTTAAAAAATACATTGTACACAAAGGATCAAGAATAAAAATGATGGGGGCTGGAGAGATGGCTCAATTAAGAGCACTGGCTGCTTTTGTAGAGGACCCATGTTTGGTTCCTAGCACCCATATAAGGGTTTACAGCTGCCTGAAACTCCAGTTCCAGGGAATCTGATGCCCTCTTCTGGCCTCCACCAACATCTGAATACATGTGGTACACACACACACACACACACACACACACACACACAATTAAATAAAAATGATTTTTTTAAAAAGCTCTGACAAGAGAAGTAGGTTAATAGTTAAGAATATTGCCTCCTGTAATAAAAAAGCTCTGACATATAACTCACATGTAGCTCACCCACTTAAAGTACAAAATTCAATGCCTTTCTAAAGTATTTTTACAGAGTTGCACAACCACCTGTACCATCTTAGAACATTTTCATCACTCCCAAAGGAAAACCTTCTCTATCAGCAACCACTCACCATCATTTCCCTTCCCTGGTTCAAGGCAACCACCAACCACTTTGCGTCTTAATAGGTTTGCCTATTTTAGACGTGTCATACAAATGAAATTACATAATAAACAGTGGCTGGCATCTTCCGACTACCACAGTGTTACAATGTTCATCCACATGCACCAAGCTGAGCTCATTTCTGGTCTATTAAGCACTGCATGGTATGGATACTGCACATCTTACTTGTTTATTAGTTGACTGACATTGGGCTGCTTTCAGTTTTGAGCTATTATAAGCAATGCTGTTAAGAATGCTTGAGTTCAAGATTTTGTGCCAGCTGTGTTTTTATTTCCCTTGGGTATTTCTGGGGTGGAACTGCTGGGCCATAGGCAATTCTGTTTATCCATTCATAGAACCGTCAGCCTGCCTTCCGAAGCGGACACACCAGACCACATGCCTGCCAGCAGATGTGAGGGTTTCAGCTCCTCCCTGTCCTGGCCAACACTACTTGTCTTTCTGACAATGCTCCCCCTAGTGTGTGTGAGTGGTATAACACCCTGTTTTTCTTTGCATTTTCCTGAAAGCCAATGGTGTTGAGCATTTTAAAATATGCCTAAAATCTCTGAACTTACACATCCTTCCTAAAACTCTAGTCTCCACTGGCGTTCTGTAACATAAAACATATCCCATTTCCCTAAACACTTTCCTGTTTTTATTACTCTATATTCCTGCTCACTGGGTGTCTTATAATGAAACTACACTCAGCATCCCACACAGTGAGAATGTGATTCATCTCAAGTCCCTCTAGTTTCAAAAACACACTTTAAGTATGTCTTGCAACACATTATCTTGCTTCCTATGTGTGTTATATGCATGTGTTCTTGTGGGTTAGTATGGACGTGTATATATTTGCAGATGGGCATGCATGCAATGTGTGTGTGTGTAAGGAGGAGGTCAATGTTGGATATTTTCCTCAATCACCGTCCACCTAATTTTTTGAAATATGGTCTCTCACTGAACATGGGGCTCATTGATTCAGATAGGTGGGCTGGCTGGTCAGCGAGCTCTTGGGATGTGCCTGTCTCTGCCCCCAGTGCTGGGTTACAGATGCATACCACCACACTTGCTTTTCTATGTAGATTCTGGGGATGAAAAGTCGGGTCTTTATGCTTGCAAAGCAAGCACTTTTCTGATGAAACCATCTCCCCAGCCCAGTTGTCTTCCTTTTTAATGCAAATGATCTGAATTGAGTGTTTCTTCTGTGTGTGCTGTGTGTATGTCCATGTGTATGTAGTTGTGCATGCATGTGTGCTCACATCCATGTGGAGGACAGAGGCCAGCCTCAGGAGCTATCCTCCTTGTTTCTTGAGACATTTTCTCATTGGTTAACTTGGAGGCTCACTGATTCAGTTAGGCTGGCTGGTCAGCATGCCTCAGGGACCCAGCTGTTTCTGCCTCCCCAGTGCTAGGATTAGAAGTGTGTGCCACCATACCTGCTTTTTTTTTTCTGGGGTCTGGGGATCAAGCTCAGTGTCTCATGTTTGCATAGCAAACACTTTAATGACTGAACCATCTCCCCAGCCTGAATTGAGTTTCATTTAAAGGAATATTTATTGTTATTATTGTGTATGTGTGTGTATATATGATGTACTTGGGGAGGAAGGGGAAAGAGAGAGAGAGAGAGAGAGAGAGAGAGAGAGGATGTATGTGTGCTGCAGTAGATGACATTTGAGAACAAGTGTGTGTGCGTGCATGTGTGCATGTGTGTGTGTGTGTGTGTGTGTGTGTGTGTGTGTGTAGTTGGCTCTCTCCTCCCAGCTTTATGTGGGTTCCAGGGATTGAACTCAGGTTGCCAGGCTTGTGTAGCATACACATTGACCCCCCGAGCTATCTCTCTAGTCTCTGAATTGAATTTCATAGCTTTTATATAAAACAAACAGACTCCAAAGAACTGTATTTCCAGTATCAAAGAAAGAAGAAATTTTCCACACTAATAAGTCTACAGCGTACCCCGAGGAGATGGATAATGGAAATCTGGGACTTTTCTGGAGAGTCTGGGGCACAGAGCAGCTATGTACAGGACACTCAGAGGTCCTGTTTCCACTTGCAAAGGAGAAGTCTTCAATTCATTCCTATGAGGGTAAGTGAGCCTGGGATCATCATTAATGAGCCCCTGGCCAACGAAATGTTCCATACTGAGTACCAAGCATTCTTTGCGGCAGGTATTTCCTTCATTTGAGGGCAGGCAGCTTACTTCAGAAGCCAATGTGTACTTGGTAAAAATGTACGTTATTCAGGAAGGCCTGAAAATATGAGAAAGAATTTAGAATGCCAGGTGACTTTGAGCAGTGCTGTCCATAGTGTGGACAGTTTGGCTAGTAATTAATACTGTAATACTAAAACAATTTTTAAATTTAGTTTTATGAATGTTTTGCCTGCATGCATGTAAGTGCACCCATGTGTACAGTGCTTGCAGAGGCCAAAAGAGGGCCTTGGATCCTCTGGAACTGGAGTTAAGGATGGTTGTTAGCCACCATGTGGGTGCTGGGAACCGAACCTGGGTCCTCAAGAGCAGCCAATGCTCTTAACAGCGGAGCATCTCTCCAGCTCCAATATTCTAATATTTTAATGATATAAATTTCAGTTTCTTAAAAATACTTTATAGAACATAAAAGTGAAAAAAATTCCAAATTCATTTAAAAACCTATTAGAACTATAAATATTCCTCTCTCTTTGTGTGTGTGTGTGTGTGTGTGTGTGTGTATGTACGTATGACTTTTATATGGTGTGTGTGCATTTGTGTGCAGATGTGTGAGCCTGTGTATATGTGTGTGGAGGCCAGAGGGGGATACTGGGTGTTCTGCTCATCACTCTCCCCTTTATTCCCTTGAGACAGGGTCTCTCACTGAATTTGGAGCTAGGCTGGCAGCCAGTAAGTTCCAACAATCATCTTCCTTCCCCTCCCCTGCCCCTCAGCACTGGGGTTATGGGCACATGTGGCCATGCCTGGCTTTTTACCTAGATGCCAGGATTTGAACTCAGGTCCTCATGCTTGTGTAGCAAATGCTCTTACCCACTGAGCCACAACTCCTGTTTCTAACAGTGCTAAGAATTTGGGGCTGGAGAGATGGCTCAGTGGTTAAGTGCACTGGCTGTTCTTGCAGAAGACACAGCACCCACATGGTGGCTAATAACGTCTGTAACTCTAGTTCCAGGGGATCCAATGCCTTCTTCTGTCCTTGGCAGACATTGCATGGCACAAGTGCACTAACATATGCAGGCA